AAGGTTTTATTTTATTTTGAAATTTTATTTTATTATATTTGAATTTTGAAACAAGTATATGAGAAACAAACCAAAAAAAAAATAATAATTTATAGAATATGTTATCAGGCATTGTGACCGTTTAGACAAGAAAAACAAAACAAAAAAAATTTAAGTACATGCGAAAACAATTATCTTACACATTTCTGTTTAACGAATCTGCAATAATACTATAATATTATAAAACAGCACAGTGTAATTTTTTACTGTATTATGGCACTTAAAGAGGTGATTCACCGCTGCTGACACCAAGATGGCCTGTGGCATTCCCTTTTGCCAAAATGGTAGTGAAACTTAACCCATAATGCACTTGGCTCAATACGACTGACTGAGTGGGGGATATAAAAATGCTAAGTACTGTAATTTTCACAAAAGCCCTGGAGCTGTCAAAAATCCACCAGATGACGTGTTTTAGCTGACAATTACACCAGGATATCTGTGTGCAGGTAATATGGAGAAAAAATACACACTGTTCATTTAAATATGCTACCGACAATTTACCAACACGAACCTGGTTGAAAATCTGCAAACTTCTGTAAGCAGAAAACTCAAAGCTCAGTTGTTTTGTGCTTGAATGGAAACCCAAAAATTAGCACCCTGACACAGCTTTACATGGTTTCATAAAGGCCTCTAAGTTCATCTTCAGTGGTTTGTCATGTTAATGAACATCCTACTGAAGGCTCCTCGGATATGTGAGGTATGCTATTGTGAAAGACATGCAAATATCAAACCACATAATAGAGCATCGGTTAAACTATTCTTTCCACACAACACTTCAATCATCAACTTGTTCTTCTGTGCTACAACTTTGTGTGACGCACAAAACATTTGCTTTGAATGTTTAACATTCTCCTGACGCTTGAAGAGGAAGAACAGGACAGAAGGGAAGGAAAGTGAGAGCGAGATGACATCTGACCTCACTAACCTTACTCAAATATTGTAAATCTGTAGTACTTCTGATTTGAAGAAATGGGGAATTACACAGACGAATTTAGGAAATTAGATAAGGAAATGAAACCAGGCTGACGTGGTTCATACGCTCTTCTAGAGTAACATATCTGGTTGAGGAGATGGCATCGGGCCCTCATGCCATTGGCTGCGTGGCATGTGACCGGCGGGGGCAGGGGCGTGTGCTGGAATGCAGGGTTAGGGGTGCAGCTATGGAAGGTCACGAGGTCAGGGTCATACACACACATGTTGCCCCCCTCCCCCCGATCATACACAGGGGCCTCTGTGCTTCTGTCACTCCATAAATGACTCCAACACATGGACGCTCTCGCTCGTATTCTGCGCTGCCCCCGTAACCCACTTGCATGGCAAACACACACAAACCACTGTGCTCCCCTGTCGGTGGACACACCATTATTGTTCTCTAGGGGTAAAAACAAACAAAATACTATTCAACCCCAGAAGACCTCATTCATCCCTAGAAATACACCATCCGTACACTTCCAGTGAAACATTTATTCCCAACGCTCCTAAATCGAGATACAAGTGCTCCCAAGGCGAGCGATGTAAGAAAAAAAGTACAGACTTTATCGCTGCAGCGTTTAATACGGCCTCACACTTCAATGTCACTGAAAAATCCTGCCTATGTGTGTGACATTTACAGGCGTTCACAGAAATAGCATGACGGCACAATCGTTTGATGGGCCTGATGGGAAACTAGGCAGTGCGGAAAATACAAAACACGTTCGCTCGGTGGCTGTCTCGCACAAACACACACACATGCTGCCGAACAGGATACATAAGCATGTAAACATAGAGAGGTGCCTGTTGATGTTGAACTGGTTCCAGAGAGACCTGAACAACTGAGACGGCTGCATAACACTGACTAAAATGGAGCACACGGTCTCCTGTGTGACAATGTGAACGAGTGATAAAAGGCTGCTAGTTATTCCAAATTAACAATCTATTACACCTACCTGTATATGGAAACAAGCTTACAGTGAGCATGACAACGACACACTCACAAACACACAGGCAAACATGTAGAATAAATAGAGTAAGCAACATGAAAACCATGCCAGGGTTTGAAATTATCTGGGACTGGGTCAAAAATGCACCTGAAATTTAAAATGTGATATAGGCTAGTTGCTATTATTTAAATGTATTTATGCAACAATTTGAATTTGATTGGCTGAGTGGAATTCTTTATAAGGGAATCATTGAATTATTCACTTAATTCACAAGAACAAAACAAGGGACTAATTGAGGGAGTCATTGAATCGTTCACTCAATTTGTTTAAAACACTAACACTACCATTAAACAGACAAAAATAATAAGGTAGCTGGCTATATTCTCTAAAATGTAAGTTACTCAATATTAATTTCTTGTTTATTTAGCTATTGCGTAAAAGCAATATCACACTTAGCAACTGTGCTGAATATCTGCAAGCATATTAATTTATTTTAATGAATAGCAGCTTATGTAATTATTCCCACTGTGAATTTATTTTAATGATTGCTTAAACTTAATTTATAAGCTATTTGACAAGGCTGACACAATATGATTGAAAAAAAGTGACCTCATAAAGTTACAAATGCCTGTGGGGCAAATACTGAATATTGAATGCATTTTTGACACTGATGGCCAACACCTATCTCTTTGAAAAATAACAAACCAATATTACAAATTAAAGCTGGAATCTTAACCACTGACTCTTCACGACCATCTCATGAGACAGCACACAAATTACAGGGTTAGCCATTCAGGATACTGCTGTACTAAATACACACTGAGGCCTGATGGGTAGACCATAGTTAAACCACAGACACTTTCAGATGTTACAGAGGAAACGTGATCAGCCAGGGTCAGCGGAAGCCTATTTGTGCAGACACACAGCACCCGGAAAAGGAGGAAGCCTGAAGAGGTGCGCATCATTCTCTGAATTCATGCAAAGTGGCAGTCAGAGAGTGAGGAACTGATAAGAGCAGTCTCTTATCTAATGCGATTCATGTGGCGAGAGCTTTTTGATGAAGTCGATAGTGTCAGTTTTACAAGGACTGACAGACACACACGACTTTTATCAGGATGCACGCCATACCAACGCTTTTGTCACCTCCTGTTCTCATAACAAACCACGGCTTTCAGAGAAAATGCTCTCTCACCGAAATGCGCTACGTATTTATACCTCTGTGGGTGTTTGCAGGTAAGAACACAGACTGAAGACATACTAAAATCTGATAAAGAGTGAAGCACTTGGAAACCACATCCTATACTCGGTACTGTATCTTCGTCTTACTCTCTTACTCGCTCACTCGCTTGCATACTCAGCAGCTGAGCTCACCTCGTAACTATCGAGGTCAGAATGTGGCCTGCACAGCCGTAGAATGATAAAACCGCAAGGTACTTGTAGTAGTTATTGCCACCTGACTTAAAGCAACATTTCATCCCGTCTCTGCACCTCATCGCTGACGTTCAGCTTTACAAAGTCAACATACATAAAAATGCCATCGTCTGTGGACTGAAGATGAGATATGTGTGATACGAAACTTTTATCTTGCAAAAAGGGAAAACCAATGCTACTAACGCAAGTATGTATTTTTGAGCAGGTCAAGAGGTCAACCACAAAACCTTCATCAAATTTCAATTTTATGCACCTTCTTAGTTAAAAATACACTCCATATGGGGAAAAGTTTGGATAATGTTGTCTAAACAAATCACAGCTGAAAGTAAAATGTGGTTTTCGAATGTGTTGATATTGTATGCATCGCGCGCTTAGACACTCGGTAGGTTAATGGCGTAGCGCGCTCGCAGCGTTGATGAATATAACAGTTAAAAGTCCTTAAAACTTCGAGCTGCGTGGGTGTCGGGGTACGACCGCTGAGAAAATCGTGATGTGGGAGAAATGATTGTGAATCGTGATTGAGGGAGAGAAAGCGAGAGAGTCTCAACATTGATTCCCAAACATGCCACAATAGGCCTCCTGAACACGGCTACTGAAACTTCCTGTAGTTGGCGAGACAGTAGCAACTTCTCAAGTGCATACTGCATAAGTAGATACATGTTAGGAAATGAATACTTGCGGCAAGTATGCTAACAGTGATTAAAGTGAATTCAAACTACTGGAAAGCATTCATCATAAAAGTAGGCGATCCTTTCACCTAACGGGATATTAGTGCGCAGCTCTGTGTAATTAGGCTTCACTGCACTTTACAAGCGTAAAGGTCTATATTTAAAACCCTAGAAACTGGAGCGAATGCAAAGTGGTCCATTTGTAAACAAAGTAACATGATAATTAAATACTCCGGTGAGAAAGCGGGGCTTCCATTTTGAATGTGCCATGCTACTGCTACAGGCGCAGAGTGCGAGGAGGAACATTTTTGGGGGAAAAAAGTATTTAAAATTTTGCGGGGAATTCACAGCATCGATTTCGACATACTTCCAAGAACGACAGAAGTACAGGCTGCTGTTTTAAAGTTGTAGCATTCAACAGGTTTCGCGCTGACAGGACTGGAAGAAACTGAAATGAAGCGGTCGTTAGGTTTGAATGTAACTATTTAAAGTAAAACCGCAAACTTGAGAACGTGTTAACATTAGGACTACTAGAATGAACAGACTGAGCTGGACTACACGTCTAGACTACACCGCGACACTTGAGGTCATTAAAATGAATGGACAACTGACCGCATTATTTATTAGTTTTAATATTTGAAAACTGCCATTCAAGTTCACGAGTTAAACACGTACGAGTTTAACCATATAATGCAAGCCAAACAAAAAATAACCGAGTAGTGAATCAGTTGACATGTCAGAGTAATAAATCGTCGAAAAATAGTCAACTTTTCTAAAAGTAAAAGTCAGTTGTCGTGAAACTAATAACGTTACATCCATTTTGACATTGCTGACTGCTCAATAAAACTGATGTTTAGTAAAATCCTGACTCGATACACTGGCTCGACAAGCTCACAAGTCGAAGTTGTGGCAGCACTTGATAATGAATGCCTGGGTAACTTACCCGCGTCCCCCGGGGTTTTCATGGTGAAAGTTATCTGCCCCTAACACACAGCGAGCTGGGGTAAGTTGTCAGTTCAGCAGTGGCGAGACTCGGCCTCTCCCGCACCCCCGTCTCCAAAAGGCCAAACTTTTGTCCAATGATCCGCGCTCTTGTTGCTCGCGCAGAACGACTTCTGGCCTCTTTTCGCGATCCCTCCAAACCCCCGACCGTCAGCGCTGAGTTTGGGAAAGCGGCTCGGTACTTCCACTGGCGCGGCGGGACGGGACGGGACGGGACGGGACGGGGTGCAGCGGAGTTCCGAAACAGCGCTTTGCCGTCTGTCCCGGGAGCGATCGATACAATCCCAACACCGCAGGAAAGCAGCGCTCCGCGTCTCACTGTTACAAACTCGCGCTCTTGATCCCTGATGATGATTTTCGCAACATTTTATCCTTGTGTTAGTTTGTCATCTGCTCTCCCGAGGCTCGCCATTCGCAGTATATCAGTCAGTTTCCCATTCTCTCTTTCACACCGACTTTTTTTTCTTCCTCCACTCTCCCTAGTCTGAAACTACTCGCTGTCTCCTCCCCCATCTCGCTCTCTCTCTCTCTATGGAGTCAATATAGTGCCACTTATATATGCAAAATAATAAAGTTTTGCAAAAGAAAATAAAGTTTTGCAAACGAAAATAAAGTTTTGCAAACGAAAATAAAAGTATTGAGAAAAAATAAATGTGTTTTTTGCAAACAAAAATAAAGAATTGCAAAAGAAAATGAAGTATTGCGAGAAAAAAATAAGTTTTGCAAACAAAAATAAAGAATTGCAAAATATAAATGAAACGGCACAAAAGCAATGATTTTGCAATACATATTTTCCATGGCCATATCTACTAATTTATTTGCAACGCTGCTTTTATTTTGCGTTTCAGTCAAATTTTTATTTTCGTTTGCAAAACTTTATTTTCGTTTGCAAAACTTTATTTTCTTTTGCAAAACTTTATTATTTTGCATATATAAGTGGCATTACATTGACTCCATACTCTCTCTCTCTCTCTGTCTCTCGCTCTCGCTCTCGCTCTCGCTCTCTCTCTCTCTCTCTCTCTCTCTCGGGTGTCGTGTTTCGCTCGCGCCCACAGGCGCAGGGGGAGGAGGAGGAGGGGAATGGGGCATCGGCTGAGTCACGCCCCCTCACCACGAGCCGGGGCTGGCGTCACTGCAGCACGAGGCGTCGTTATGGAGACCGCCATAGCCACTGTCCGTGATCACATCACATCCGTGTCCTACGAGAACTTGAGATTTAGCGTCATCGCGTCCGTTAACGTCAGCAACAAGTATTTTTCGAGCTAATTAGCCCTCGTTCTCTTTCATTTAATGATAATTATCGAATTATGATTTCCGGAATGTACCCTTCAAGATCAGAGACTCAACTCTAAGGGCACTTTTGGCCACTCAAATATTTTCTATCAAAACAAAATGTCAAATATTCTGTGGCTCATGTATCATATCATATATATATACACCATACAGTTCTATAATGGATTTTTATATAGGCCTATATTTGTTAGGGCCAATGACAAATAAGCCTACAATATATTTTCCAAGGTAACAATTTTTTTTATTAGCCTACCAGTTTCATAAATATCATACATTTTACATCAAGACATTTTATATAATATGTCAAGATATTTTTTATATAGTATACTAAAAAACTTTTCAAAAGTGATATTTAAAAAGAAGTTAACACTTTACAATAAGGTTCCATTTGTAAACATTAGATAACTACATTAGTAAACATAAACGAATAATGAAAAATACTTCAAAAGCATTTAATGTTGATTCCAACATTTAGTAATTTAGTAATTGCTCTTGCTTTTTTAGAAAAAAAACAATCCAACATTATTTTTGAAAGAACTAAATGGCACACAAAAAAATAAATGAATGAATGAATGAATATATATATATATATATATATACACACAGTGCCTTGCGAAAGTATTCAGACCCCTTATTTTTTCACTTTTTATGTTGCAGCCTTATGTTAAACTGCTTTAAATTACTTTTTTTTTCCACATCAATCTACACTCCATACACCATAATGGCAAAGCAAAAACAGAACTGTCACAACTTTGTAAAAAAAATTTTTTTTAAACTGAAATAAGTACATTGCATAAGTATTCAAACCCTTAACTCAGTACTTAGCTGAAGCACCTTTACACCATCAAGTATTTTTTTGTTTGATGCGACAAGCTTTGCTCATCAGCATTTGGCAATTCTCTGCCATTCTTCACCTCACCTCTTCACCTCTCAAGCTCTGTCAGGTTGGATGGGGGCAGACACACATTTTCAGGTTTCTCCAGAATTATTTGATTGGGTTCAAGCCCAGGCTCTGTCTGGGCCACTCAAGGACATTCACAGAGTTGTCTATAAGCCACTCTTGCTGTGTGCTTAGGTTCATTTTCCTGTTGGAAGGTAAACCTTCTGCCCAGTCTGAGCTTCTGAATTCTCTGGATTGGGTTTTCATTAAGGCTATCTCTATATTTTGGTGCATTGAGCTTTTCTTCTATTCTGACGAGTTCCTCAGTACCTGCCACTGAATAACAGCCCCACAGCATGAGGCTGCTACCAGCACACTTTTCTTTTGGGATGGTACTCTGCAGGTGATGAACAGAGCCTGGTTTCCTTCAAACATGATGCTTGGAATTGAGGTTCATCAGACCAGAGACTCTTGTTTCTCACAGTCTGAGAGTCCTTTAGGTGCTGTTTTGCAAATTCCAAGAGTGTTTTCATGTGTCTACACAGAGGAGAGGATTGAGTTTCTCCTATCTCCACATATGATCATGGAGCTCAACTAGATGACCATCAGGTTCTTGGTCACCAGTCTAACCAAAACCTTTCTCCATTAATTGCTCAGTTTGGCCAGGAGGCCAGCTCTAGGAAGAGTCCTGGTTGTTTCAAACTTCTTCCATTATGGATAATGGATGCTACATGCTTCTGTGACCCTTCAATGAAGCAGAATTTTTTTCTGAACTCTTGCCCAGATGTGTGGTTTGATGCATTCCTGTCTCTGAGCTCTACAGGCAGTCCTTTTGACCTCAGGGCTTGGTCTTTGCTCTAATATGCATTTTTAGCTGTTAGACCTTTTATTTAGACGTGTGCCTTTCCAAATCATACCCATTCAGTTGAATTTGCAACAGGTAACATTTACAAGCAAAATGAATGCTCCTGAGCTAAATTTCAACTGTCCCAGATAAGTCCCAGATGCAATGGAATCATTTACGTTTTTTATCTTTAATAAATTTGCAAAGATGTTAAAAACCTGTTATTTGTTTTGTCATTATGGTGTATGGAGTGTAGATTGATGTGGAAAAAAAGTAATTTAAAGCAGTTTAACATAAGGCTGCAACAAAACAAAACGTGAAAAAAATTAAGGTTCATGCGATGAGATGAGATTACACATTTTACCACCCCTTATATTAATCATTAAAGGGGAGATGAGAAGTAAGATTCAGAAACATATAACATGACCTTCCTCAAGTCTCATGACTACATGAAAATTCCCAGTAAAACAGAATAATGTTACCTAATGACCACAATCCCATTGAATTCTGTTGGCACGTGCGTGAGAGAGAATGAGAAGTGTGCAGTGTGAGAAAGCGTGTAGGTTAATTTCCTGCATGATTTGAATGTGATCCATCTGCTCAAGCATATACATCCTGTTTTAAAGCTGAGCACCTGAATCATAAAAGGACCCCCCTCCCTCCCTCACTGGAGAACAGTTTTTGAGTAAATGTGATGTCTCTCATGAGCAGTGTAGCATGTCTCCTGTTCTAGTTTAGTACATCCTACTGCTAGAAAACAGGGGACAACATATCTTTAAAGGTGCACTAAGTAATTTTATTTCTCCTTAAAAAAAAAGAATTTTCCCAAATAACATAATTCAACCATCATCAGACACTTTTTCAGTAAAAACATTAATAATGTTGCAAACTATTGCTTTTCATGATACTGCATTCATTCCACTAGGTGTCACTATAAATCTAATATGGCTGAGATATCTATGGAAGCCTGTTTCTGCCACGAAAAATTACAAATAAAAAAAGGTAATAATGAATTTATTCTCAGACTCTGTTCTCAGAGCCGATACTCTTAGAATTGCAAGTTATAAACTCAAAATTGCGAGACAGAAACTCGCAATTGAGGGGGAAAAAAACTCAGTATTGTGAGATATAAACTGGGATATAAAAAAGTCAGAACTGTGAGATAAACTTGCAACTGCCAGAACAAAGACAGAATTGTGAAATAAAAAGTCAAAATGAAACTTTGTAATTTTGTTTATTCCATGGTGGAAACAAAGAAACAGAATTGCGAGGGGAAAAGGCAGATTTACAAGATGTAAACTCAGAATTGTGAGTAAAAAAGTCTGAATTCTGAGTTTATATCTCACAATTCTGTTTCTTTGTTTGCACCACATATTAAAAAATAAAAAAAGTTAGCAGTGATTTTTTTTCCTCACAATTCTGCCTTTTTTTCTTGCAATTGCGAGTTTATATCTCACAATTTTGACTTTTCTTCTCAGAATTTCTAGAAACAAAGTCTGAGTTAAGATATAAACTCAGAATTTCTAGAAAAAAGTAAGAATTGTGAGATAAAAAGTCACAATGACCTTTTTTTAATTCTGTGTGGAAACAGGCTTCCACATACTATACATATCAGCCAGCGCAACATAAACAAAACATCTGTTAGAATAACACTGCTTTAAGTATCAACAGTTCCCGTGGTTTAGAATTAAATTTTTAGTAATTCATCAAATTTTCTCAAATCTGTGTGATGGGAACGTTAAGGCAAGACTGACAGGATGGTCTGTACTTTTATGAGCTTTAACCTGATCAATTGTCCTTTCCTTTGAGAGGAAACTGTTGTCATTGTGCTGTGAGTTGTAGTGGTTCTCAGGATTGTGCTTCTTGTTGTTATTTGTGCTAGTCAGGCTGCAGAGTGTCAGCAGTCATTTCTGGTCACAGGAAACAGACGTACCTCAGATAAGCATCTCAGCTCCATAATGCTGCTGCTGCAGTCCGTGTGTACGTGTGTGTGTGTGTGTGTGTTTTGGAAATATCCAGTGCTGTCACATCTGTCAGAGACACCCTCTGTTTTCTTTCCCCAGGAAAGAAAACAAGAGCAGTTATTGGGATGGGCAATTTCCTTTGACCGTAATGGACAATAAATACAGTCTACTATTGTATTTACACACAATTTTCCATTTCCTCTCTCTCACACTTGCATCTTCTATTTTCTACTTCCTTCTCTCTTGTATCTTTGTTTCCCAGTGTGCTGAAATGTCTTCAACTTAAAAGAAAATCGTTCTCGTTCTGCTAACTGCTCAATCACATATTCTACACTCTCTGTCTCTCTGCCAAAGCACAGTACATTCTGCTGTCCGATTCATCCTATTCATCCTTGTACTGTTGTACCTTGCACCTTCACTTTTGTGTTATTCATCCACACCATTATTTAGCCCCATCAGCCTTCTCTTCCTCCACATCCTCCGCTCTCCTGATTCTCTTCCACTCCTGGACTTTATGTCAA